CATTTGTTAAATGAGTTTTGCCCCATTTTACAACCTTTCTTGCCACATGTGATTAATGAATGCAGGTATTAGTAAATCTGGCTTCCCTCTTGACTTTGCTTATCAGGTTACAAAAGGTCATCACATGACTCTGGGACACTGCAACCATTATAAATATGAGTCATTTGCCAAGCATCTGAATTTTGTTCACATGACCATGGGCACGTCACATGTCAGTACTGTTGTAATTTTTAAGTCACTAAATGAACTGCTGTAAGTCAAAATACCTGTATTATCATTATAAAATGTTCTGAATATAACCACACTATCATTTAACACACTTTCTATTTTTTTGGCCACTAAAGTAGTTTTATGAGGTGAATCGGAAAGGACTTGAGAAAAACATGGACATACGTTTTATTTTTTAGGAGGAATAAATATATATACAACAAATAAATTTAAAAATAAAGTACTGCTTTCTGTAGACAAATATGATAGATGCAAAGGAAGTTAAAAGTAACATTCAATTATCCCATGTTTTTCATGGACTTTGCAGATCACACATATACAGTAGTTTAACACTTTTATCAACTCTAAAAAAATATTGCAGGGTTAAAAATTTTAGGAGAAAAAAATTAACCAACCAGGGGTGGGTTCTGGCAGAGACTACTGCCGGTTCACTCAGGGACGCACTATGCATGCATGCACAGTACAACTAAAATTGCTCTGCACATGCAGAGAAGCAAAAAACAAGATGTTGGTGCCTATGATACTGCCGGAGAACTGGTTTGGGGGCGTGGCAGTCCTGGGTTGCTGTTGGTTCCAGCAACCCAGGCCACCAAATTACTGGCTCAGCCGAACCAGTGGGAACCCACCACTGGAACCAATGCTACTATACTTAGGGTAGCACATCTATTACTGTTTTTTCTTCTGATTTTCATAAGTATTATTTAGAGCATACATGTGCAACTTTAAGAATTGTGGACTTCAACTTCTAGAATTTCTCAGCGAGCGCTATTGGCTGGAAAATTCTGGGAGGTGAAATCCACAACTCTTAAAACATACCAAGGTTAGATACCCGATTTAGAGGATTGGCTGTCTAATGGTGCAAACTGAAAGTTGTTAAATCTACTTTCCTTTCCTTTGGCATCAAGTCTAATTTGCAGGCCTCTCATTAAGAGTGTTTACACCTCAGGGTACTCACATTCTTTTTAGCAGCAATCTATACCTACACCTAGGTGTTATTCTAATTTCCTGTATTTTGGGAAATACATCCCCATGCTTCTATTGATTCCTTCCATTTTTGTTATTACATGTTTATTTCATAACAACTCTGCATGTGCCTCCCTTCTTGTGCTTCAAATTCTAAAAAGGTCTTTTCTCATCATTAATATTACTAATTTGCTTGTTATTGGTACTTCTTACCAAATCCAAGTTTAAAACCTATGAACTTTGGGTTAGATATTTTTTCTGGGTTCTAGTTTATCCAAATGACTTGACTCATGGCTATAGGCATGCTCAATATAGGGATTTGAATTCATCTCTTATTTTGCAATTTTTTTCATTTTAAAAGTCACAAAGTAAATGTTTTACATCTCAATGCACAGCACCCTTCTGAAGAATAACTAGTTTGTTGGTTTCTAGTTTTGTTTCCGTAACTAGAACACTGTATTTAGGATACAAAATATTTCACACACCAGTTAGCAATCTTACTTCCTACTTTCATGGTGAAGTCATGCAACCAGGACTACGACGCTTTCTTCTCACAAACTACTTGGTGTTTGTGTCTTTAATATTCATACATGGACCAATTCGGATGCAGACAATCTTGCATCTGTTTTCAGAATTCATCTTCTGTTATCTGGTAAATTAGACTTTGATTCAACCATCACAATGATGCACAGAAACTCTGAAAAAAAGCAAGCTAGTTACTTGATCTTTTAAACTTTTAGTGCATTTGCAAAAATTATTCTTTCCCCTTCTCATGTTATATAGTGTATGCAGCTTGAATATAAATACAGCCAATCAGGGAAGAGTTAATTAACTGTCCTGCACAAGTACAGTGCCTCAGCTTTAGAACATTACAGGTAATCCTCAACTTATGAACATTAATTTAATGAACAGTTACAATAGCACTAAAAAGTGACTTATGACCAGTCCTTGCACTTATGACCTTCACAGCATCCCTGCAGTTATGTGATCAAAATTTGGGTGCCTGGCAACCAGCATGTATTATGACAATTGGTGTATGGGAACGGGTGGGGTTCACACAATCACCACTTGCAACCTTCTCAGGGAGCTTCTGACAAGCAGACAATGGAGAGAATCTAGACTTGCTTAATGATTGCAGCAAAAAAGGTTATAACATTGTGTGCGACTTGCTTAATGACTGCATTTTTTTGCAACAGATGTTCCAGTCCCAATTGTTATTGTAAGTTGAGGACTACCTAAAAATGCATGTACAATCTCTAGTATTATGTGAATGCACTAATGAATAGTTGAAGGACTATAGTTGGGGACCAGGCATCTGCTATTGATTTTTGTATGACCCAAGGCATAAGGAGAAAATAACAGATTTTATACTACTTGTAATCATTTCTACTTTGCAGAAGTAAACAGCTGATGTTGCAGAGATGCTTAATAGATGATGCCTGTAATTGCTTTATTATGGGGTTCATACCTTTTCAAAATATAGTCAATAGTTCAAAATCCATTCATATATTTACTAATAGAATAGTTTATTCTATTACATTATTATGAGGAATGTTGACTCCTTCCTGGATTATAACATTAAAGTTAACATTGTCTACTCAAGAATTTCCACATGTATTCATCTGCTACTGCCTTTGAATTATTTGTCATTTTTCTATAACACACTTTTAAAATGAAAAATACTATAACTATTATTTAGCAACATTTTGGTAACCAACAGATTCTTTAAATAAACTTTAAATGTGGTTAAGCAATCTGACAAAAAATAGTGGACATATGCTCACTATTTTATCATTAGCTACAATTACTCTGTTATCATTAAAATGCAGCTTTTGGCGGTAACTGTCAAAGGCACTCTATTAAATGATTGAGTGATTGGTTATAGTTTCTCTCTACAAATTCTGCTGGAGTGGTTTATAAGCTTTTACTCTGACCAGATTCAAGAAGTTTCTATTATTAATCACAGCATGTTTTCAGATCAAATTCCAGTTCAGCTATCATACTACATACAATACATTTTAAAAATCAATAGAGCAGCAAAATGGGTGAGAGAAGTAGGCAGATTTATGATGAAAGACGGTGGCAGAGAGAGAAGGCTGCTTTTTTGGTGCTACCAGAACTGAGAATAAGAAGTCTTGATTTCTGAGGATTAATTTTATCTTAAAAGTTACCCATCTTCTTTTAGAGATGCTTTATGTTTTAGAATTAATCTTAAATGCAGATTTAAAGGCCATTTAAGTATTGTGATTGTAAAATGATTTATCATATTGAATTCTGCACTTATATGATTGTTCAATAGCTATTAAACCAATGCCATCATTTCTTTGAAAGGAGCCCCCCCTCCCATATCTAGAAAGGAACAAGTCAGTTGAGAAATAACACCCAACTGCTGACTCTAGCAGCACATAATGTTCTCCATATCTAAGTCTGTCTCATACTTATGTTACTCACTTTTATATTTTTATATATTTCCCCCTTTCCTTTTTTTCCTATCTTGTTTATAACAGGGTTTGACAAACTGTTTCCAATCTTAATATATGTTTGTTTCCATTCAATAAATCATGCAATTGCAACATCTATGAAGTAATTTCTTCCTGTTCCACAAGGTGTACTTTCCCACAATAGTTGAAGTGTAGTTGGGAAATAGATTTAGCCCGCTGTGCGTCAAAGGAGGACTAGTTTCAATCATTGCAACCAAACAAAATCTAATCGCAAAATGTAGGTCTATGATGAGATGTACTTCAATGATGGGGAAGGGTCTCAGGATGTTCAGGTCCTTTCTCAAGGTACAACAAATGCTTTAAAAAAATAATGAATTTTGTCTGAGGCTTCTTTCCCAGGAATATCTTTCCACTCTAATCTGAAATATTTAAAAGTCAACTTTCCTTATCAATCAACAGAGAAGACTTACATGCTGGAAAATTTGGAGGATAGGAGAATGGAATTCAGGAGAATCGAACAGGATATGGAAGGGAGGAACAAGGAAAATGATATAAGCACTATGTGTACCTCTATTCCACCTATTCTCTGTTAAAATACAAACAATTGCAGATAATGTATGATGCACAATTCTGGGACACCTCTTGTACTAATCACAATTAAATGCCTAGAAACTACTGGATCAAGAATTAATATAATGCATCTGTTGTTATTAAGATGCCTGGTACACATTTAAAAAGTTGGCAAGTACATAGTCATTCTACACACTTACATTTATAGTGTGGATAATTTAAATACAAACAATTCAAACGTAAGATTATGAAAAAAAATCATTTATAATACTTCCCTCAAGAAATAATCTAACAGGAAAATTAAACAAGAAGTCTTACATTATAACTAAAAAATAAAACTGCTTGGTTCTAGGAAAGATTCATTTTTCTTTGAGATAATTAAAACATATTGTAGAGAAAAGTTCTGGGCATGTCATCGCCACTTATACTTAGAAACTGCATCAAACATTTCCCAGAAAATTCTGGGAAAATTCTGTTCATTCATAGGAGATGGTGTAGAAACGTTTTTCCCCCATATACTGAATGATAGTGCCTTTATTTTTGCTTGTTTGTTTAAAACTAGAATCATCTGAATATGTAAATGAACAATGAAACTTAGGGAGTGTCCTTTGCTTTGAAGCTGGTTTATAAAATATTTGTCCCTTCTCTGTGGAACAAAACGGGTATCACTTAGTTGACAAGCAGTTAGTGAGTATAAGCAAGGGAAAAAATACACAAAAAAAGCCCGGGTTAGAAAGAACTGTAACATTTTATTACCATTAAGACTAAACTGGTATTGAAAAGTTTTTATATAACAAGACAAGAAAAGCAATAGCAAATTTAACTATCAACTAGATTATGCATAGCGAGTAACTGTTTCTAGTACTCAGGGAAGAGCATGACTTCTTTTGTTTTAAATATATTAACCATACAAAGCACAAACATACGAAAAGGATCAGTGCACTGGACATGGGAGAGCTCTCCCTCAGTCATTTTGTTCCCTTAGCTCTGTTTTCCCCAATCTGAATTACATTAAAATAAAGACTTAGGTTTTTGTTTCTATTGTGCAGTAAGAAAAAAAATATTCACAACAAACATGACAATATATCAAACAATATTTCTACACAAGTTACCTTGATACCTCTTGCCATTTAAGTATCATAAGAAAACATTTTAAGACATATACAAACAAAACTAGCAAAGTGTTACAACTTAGAATAAGTTAACAAAAGAAAAAAAATAATTTTATATATATATATATATATATTTATATTATATATACACATACACAACAACAAAATGACACAATAATATGCTTCTTCCCATAGTTTAAGTAAACAAATAAGTAGACTAGCCAAACTAGCAATATTTGATTTTGGCATATGCGTCACATCAGCAATTAAATAAATAAGTGTTTCAAGCAACATAAAGAATGTCTCGAATGTGCCAACAAAGCCCAATTTATATCAGCATGGGCTAGAAAGTGAATTTGAAAATTCTTAACAAATGAAAAGCAAATGTACTTTTTCCCTCTAAACACATTACATTTAACTATGATACTAAGATATGTAAATAATTTGTAGCACCTACTGCTTGAACAAAGGAAGTTTTTGATTAAAATTAATTTTTTTCCAAAACTTTGTTCTGCTGATATCCCGTACTGATGACTTAAAGAAAAACCATCCTGAAACTCATCTCCTTGCTTTTGGGTTTTGACTGTGGGTAACTGTGTGCCTGGGAAGAATACTCTCCTGTTCTGTATTTAATATTTTATTACAAGCTATGAAAAGATACGAAGATCATCTGTTTGTAGCCCATCCTTCAAAAAAACAATCTACTTAATCCAGTTTAAAACACACATCTTGATCTCTAAAAAGTTACCAGTGCAGTATGAACATGACAAAGTTGTCAATTTCCCCTAAATTAGCCAGTCAAAATATTTTCTCAAATCCAGGTTCTCTTGTAAAAATTCTTTATATTTTATAAAAATAGATTTTTCTTGAAACCCATTTTCAGCAAAGAGACCACCTCTTTGGCAACATTGTTAATGTTATTTAAACTGTTATGTCATCAGGTATCCCCCCTTTTACCCTATCCCTAACAGAAGACTGCTTAGTTCACATGATACAAAAGAAAAAAGGAAAAATAAAAAGAGTTGCAAAATTATACTTCGTTTTGCAATTTTTATTATTCCTCTTTAATTTATGCTGGGGGTTTACCAATCTGATTGAATCAAACATTTTGGAAAAAAGAGCAAAATTTGCTAATTCCAGTGGTTTGTAAAAATGATTTTAGGTTTTTCATTTATTTTCAAATGAGTGAATGGTCATCTTAAAAAGATCCACCTTCAAGGAAGGTAGTAAAACTAGCTGGCCAGGTAAAAATCCCTGCACTTTTGTTATTTATGTATATTATATTCAACAACAACAGCTATGAAAGAACATTCAATGCATCAAAGATTTTTGTTTTTTTTTCTAAGCATTATAAAATCCTTTTCCTGTTCACAAGATATCCAATGTTTAATACTTAGGCAACACTGGCTTATAAAAGTCCATGGTTGAGTATAAGCCTTGAAGAGTTTTTTGTTTGTTTGTATATATATTTATATATTTATATATATTTATAATTATTATTATTAAGGATATGAAATTCAGGATTTATGGGTTTTGTTGGTTTTAAAGGAAACTTGCAATACTCGGTCTCCTAAGCGGTATCCATTAAGGCTGGCAATGGCCATAGCAGCTTCATCGTAGTTGGTCATGGTAACAAAACCAAACCCTTTGCATTTGTTGGTATTGAAGTCGCGGATCACTTTGACGTTATTGACTGCTCCAAAAGGGCCAAACAGCTGCCACAGCACACTTTCATCTGAGTCGGGTGATAAATTGTAGACAAAAATACACCATCCAGTCCCAGTATGGCCAGGAATATTCATCCCCACAAGGCTTGTCATCCCATCAATTGTGATTGGAGAAAACCTACCAGATTAACATTGAAGAAAAGAAAAAAAAGAAAAAAGACAGAAAGAAAAACCAACCTAAAGATCAATTTTCAAACATGACATTTTTTGATAAAAATCAATTCCAGAACTTTCCCAAAAACCTGTGAATAATGCATATCATGATATTGTATATTGTATAAATACACCCCATGGAGAAAACGGTGAAACTAACAATCTCTACTGAAAAGAATGCAGTTAGTTAGCAATTAAAACCTCCCACAATTTATCACATGTTTTTCTAGTTGTGAAAATGGCACAATGAAAATGTATATGCATATGGGGGTGCACATAAATTTACCCAATAAATCTACGGGAAACAATGAAGATCCTAGAAAAACTATAGCATTTTTCACTTGGTCTCCCACCAAATCTGCCACAAATTATGGTATATAACAGAGAAATTCTCTCAGTTAGAATGATGCATGTGTGCGCTCATACGCTAAAACTGATAACTTGTTTGTTTTCTATCAGATTTATTACAGGTAGTCCTTGACTTATAACACTTCATTTAGTAACCTTTCAAATTACAATGGTACTGAAAAAAGCTACTTATGACCATTTTTCACACTTATGACTGTTGTAACATTCCCATAGTCATATAATCAAAATTTAGACATTGACAACTGACTCATATTTGAAGGTTGCAACCTTCTGACAAGCAAAGTCAAAGGGGAAGCCAGATTCACTTAAAAACTGCAGTGATTCACTTAATAACTGTGGCAAGAAAGGTTGTAAATTGGGGTAAAACTCACTTAACTGTTTCACTTAGCAACATAAATTTTGGCTGAATTGTAGTCATAAGTCAAGGACTACATGGCTTTACCATACGATCAATATAATAAAATTTAGCATTTCAAGTAACTAGAACAGTTCTTAGATTGAGATGATGAAGAGCCTTTCATGTTTATCTGTATCATATATAATTTGTAAACTTTGTTTTCTGTCTAGGAGCTCTGTTGTCTCCTTTAAAACATCACATAAGAATAAGCCCTAACTAATCGTGCAATAAAGTATATTCACAAAAATCAAGGGAGCGAAAAGTGGCAATTATAAAGCTTATCAGTATGTTCAGTATGTTTAAAAAGCATTGTTATAACATAAATTCAAGCACCATGTGTTAAGTTTGGAATTGGTCATCACCTAGTTTAATCTAGTTTAATCATCATTTAGCTTTAAACATATACTGACAATTTACAGAGTTATCTGTGGGAAATTTGCTCATAATAACGGTATACTTTTTCTTCAAAATATTCCCACTGTATTCAGAATCAGTGTTTATTTTGTGTATTTATATCTTTCCTCCAGGAGCTCACATTTCTCAATTTAAAACCAGAACTACTGGCAGGCTAAAAGACAATTAGCAATTGTCTGAAGACACTATCTTCAAAGCTAGATGGAATTTATATGTAGATTTCCTGAGGACTAGAACAGCATTTGATCCATATCTCATTTGGTCTTATGTAGTATATAGATCACTATAAGAGGAAAAGTTATTAATAGTAACTACTGTATTGCACAATAAACTGGCAATAACTTCCTTATTTATGACTGAAGAACAATAATTCATAATTCAAATTAAGTATAAATTGTGCTGTATAACCTTTTCATTTCAAATCAATGAGAACAGTTCCTGTGATGCTAAATAGAAAGAATAGAAATCCCATTGCAATTAAAAAAAAGAAACACTTCAGTAATAGCATGAATAACATTTAAGTAGAAAAATAACTCAATGAATCTTGCCCCCAGAGGATTTCTTTTGATATACATAAGCACTGTGACACAGAACTGAGATTATTTATCCAAAATAGTTTTCCTTTAGTTTACTATTTTAAAACTGGGTAATAAACAGAAACAAAGGTAGGCTAAAATAGCTAAAAACCCACAGTTGGATAGGGCACAGACTACAAGAAATATACAGAAAAATGTGATAAAGGGATAAGGAAAAAATGGTATGGATTTAAGAAAAGGAGCTGTAGATGGCAGCACTATGCCATCCATCCCAAAAAGCAGGATAGGAGCTGGTTAGTACATGGTTAGGAGATCATCAGGAAATACCAGAGATATAGGTTTTACAGAGGAGACAAAATGAAACAGTCAGAAGGAGCAATGGCAAACAATTGTCATCCTATTGCTAAAGGAAAAAAAGAGATGAGCTTGACTCAGGGAATCTTAAACTATCCTATTTTTTTTAAAAAAAAGAATAACATTTTATTTTTGTGAATCGCATATCCTCCACATAGCCTGTCTAACCTAATTATAGTTCTAAAATGAAATTTGGAAGGATGACTATATTCCCTGGTTGCTCCTTCAGTTTTATCCCTATACTGAAGAAAAGTTCCTGCAATATTTGGAGATGTGAGGAAGACTACTGAATCTGAAGTCCTCCAAATCATTTCAAAGTCACTAGAGACAACACATCAAAACTCATTTGAATCAAATCACCTCTCTGAAGGTTAATACAGCCCTATTCTTTAGCCACTGCTATTTCTGTCAAATGCTAAAGACATGTTGCCATTCATTTTTGGCACTTAGGAAACAACTGTTCTTACCAATCCAGCAAACACACAAACACACACACCACTATTTCCTTTTGAGATAAACAACATTGTACAAGGTACAGAACTCAATTCAAACCAGACAGGCTATATATTATACATTTTGAACTATGAAATCTTGTACAATCACCAATGAGAAGGTTATTGCTAATTTTCTGAACCATACAGATTTAGCTGTATTCATCTGTAGGCATACCCTGTTCCCCAAACAACCTGGAATAATCTATGTGTGAGATGTACATACAATGTAAACATGCAAGGAGACATCATGCATATTGTTTGTCTGCAATATTACATATTTCTGAAATACTTATTCTTTTTCAAGAGAGACAGAACAAATGAATTGGCATCTGTGCTCATAACTTTTGTACATACGCTATCGCACTACAGTAAGGATATAAGGCCCTTTATCCTAGATATGTAGCATTTTTGAACTGTAAGTATGTGAAGTAATCCTTCTGTGATTTGTGATATGTATGTATGTATGTATGTATGTATGTATGTATATATGTGTTTTTTTTATTTGTGCTGATATATATATATATCACAACCCCTGGTATGCCCCAATTATGGGAAGGAAGCTAACTACTTCCATTCTCTGTCAATCGGCTCGTCACAAGAGTCCATCACGACAGAAACCCAATATTTTTACTGTTGCCTTTGTTATATTTGTGTTTTATTTGTGCTGATAAATAAAGGTTCGAATCCCAGTAAGGGTATGGCTAGCTGATGAGAGTTAAATAGCTTGAAATAGTTCTATACTAGTCTCCCTTTATTTATTTATCAGCACAAATCACACACACACAAACACACATATATATATATTTGGTTGCATTTGTGCTGATAAATAAATAAAGAGAGACTAGTATAGATCTATTTCAAGCTATTTAGCTCTCATCAGCTAGCCATACCCTTACTGGGATTTTCATCTACTAGTAACAAAGAACCATAATAATTACTGGAAACACTGTTCGTTAAACCTGTAACAAAAAAACCTGGATCTGATTAAGGTGCATACAGTTACAGTTTAAAAAAAATAAGAAGAAAAGTTATGGACTCCCTAAAATACTTAGCCAATATTAATTTTAATCATATTTGCAATTATAAATTTATACTAAATGTCTATTAATAAACTCATATTCAATTAAACATGACCCCACCACCAAAATATTAAACAGAATAGTTTTGGAATCAGAATACTTGTATCTGTTGCACCTAAACCATTTCAAAAAACCTGTAACAACAGAAAACATGAAATAAAAGATTTGCACATAACTTTTGTATGTGCTTGTGCACATTGTTAAAGAAAATGAACTGAAGTCCAAATGAAAAGACAGAAAACGTTTGGCATGCTGGTGGAAAAAAAGAAGGAATTAAAAACAAAATAAAGTTAGTGATTAAAAAAAATTATAGCACCAATCTGTGCCAACATGGACATCTGGCAATCTGGAATTCTAATTACCTCTTTACGCCATAGGCCATATTAAGCAAATTGTCCAGCCTGAAAAGAGAAGGAGGGTCCCTGGGTTAATGTCTCACAGATGGCAAGATTGCTCAATGGAACTTTTATTAATAATGCTCCATTTTCAAAGAAGGAATTTCAACATTATCCAGTGGGTCTAATCAATCAGGAGCTATAAACTACAATCAATTAATGCCATTTTTAGATGTTCTAGTAATAAAGAAAAGTAACATTCTACAATCTCTACAATAGATCTTGCACAGAAGAATGTTGTTGTGGTTTTATTTTCATACACTATTAATATGAAATTTAACAACTATCATTTGTTCAACTATTTATGTTATTGCTATTCAACAGCCGAATACAAATATGCCAGAAGAATAAGGAAACATGCTGTCTTTATCTCTTTTTAAGATTCCAGGTTCTTCCTGCACACTATGTAAATATACATGCAGACCACCAGTTACAACCATTTGTTTAATGACTGTTCAAAATTACAATGACCTTGGAAAAAGTGACTGATGACCTGTTTTCAAAGTTACTACTCTTGCATCATATCTTGTGGTCACGCGATTCAACCAAGGTAAAATGGTTGTAAAATTAAGTTCGGTCATGTGAATACTTGTTTAATGACTGCATATCTTAACAACAAGCTATAGTTGGTTGGGGGGGTTGGTTGCTTGGTAACAAGCTTCTTTTAAGTATCTGTCAGAGCCGCTCAATGTTAAAGAAAAATGAAAATGTTTATCGTGATCAATAAATAACACTAATGAAGATTTTCCCTATTTATATATTAATTAGGTCACATTTATTTATTTATTTATATATCAAATTTGTACAGTCACTATCTCACAAGAAACAACTCTGGAACAACAAAACATGTCAAAAACCCCACCCATAACATTTTCTAAACAGTCCTAAAATGTTTACTAAAACATTAAAAAAGCAAGAAAAAAACAAGAAAGTAAATTAACAAAGGAGCTATCTGAAGATCTCACCAGTTCACTGAGACTACAAGGCCTGATGACAAAGATAGCTCTTGAGAGACTTCTGTAAATAAATAGGGATGGAGTTCACATCAGTTTGGAGGGGAGTCACATGTCCTCGGCAGAGAAGTAATGCTTCTTCAAGCCAATCAAGTGTAATTCCCTAAAAGTTGGGATCTGCAACGTCCTTCTTTTGCCAGATATGATTAGATAAGCAATTGTAATTGGGAAGAGGTGGTCCTCCAGATAAACTGGTCCCATGCTATGAAAGGCTTTAAAGTTAAAACTGAACTTTGAACCTGGAAGCAGACTGGCAACCAATATACATGGAACCCTTAATCCCAGGATCTGTCCTCAGATTAGCAGTATAATTAAGATAGAAGTATCATAATCAATTATAGCTCACTTAAACTGTATTCAACTGGTCTTCATACCAGTGGAATCTATACTGATGCTTATTGTTACAGTTGTCTGAAAAAGCAAGTCCAATTGTTGAAAAGGCTGCCAAGGAATAAATAATATTTAGCAACTGACTGTTTCTATCCAACTTTACTAACACTAATAAAGATTTTCCTGTTTCTTTTTAAGACAAAACTATTTACTTATTAATTAGTAAAGTGTGTGTGTGTATATATACATACATACATACATACATACATACATACATACATACATACATACATACATATATCCACATATATCCACATATATATACATATATATACATATATATATACATATATATACACATATATACACATATATACACATATATATATACATATATATACATATATATACATATATATACATATATATACATATATATACATATATATACATATATATACATATATATACATATATATACATATATATACATATATATATACATACACACACACACACACACACTAACATCTGTTTAAGGGGAAAAATTTAGTGCTTGCTCCTGAGCCTCTGATAATCACATCCTTGTGGAAAGGGATTTTTTTTTTCTGTAAAGGATCTTATAATTGCTTTGCAACTTGGCTGAATGTTACACTCTGGCTACAGTTGAAAAACCATCAAGTTCCATAGGACTCTTTTTTATCAAATAAATTGTTCAGCTTTAACAATAATAAATCAAATAGGAGAGCAATGCAAAGAGAAAATTACCTGAATCTCTGAGCCTGATGGTGGAGAGGTCCAGGGTAGCGTCTGTTGGGGGACTGGTACAGCTGGGAAAGGAGGGCTTGGCTTGTTTTTTGACTAGGGTTATTAGCAAACTTCACAGTAATTGGTTCTGTAGCACCACTTGGCTTTTGGCCATTAAGTCCCTTTATGGCTTCTTCTGCCTCTATTCTCTTATCAAAACGGATAAATCCCACACCACGAGAAACACCTGGAATAGAAAAAGAAGATTTAAATAAATGAAGGAAAAGAAAACTAGAAGACCTACAAGGTCCCTCCAACTCTGTTATTCTGTTAAAAGTTTCAAGTGCTGACCTAGTAGAAATAATACGACTGACTAGGTAAGTTGATTTTCAAAGATATACAGTATAGCATTTATGCATACTGTAATATATGCAAAGTTTAAAAAAGAGGTGTCTGATTTCATTATATAAAGATAGAATATTAGACATTGCCATATCTTTTTAAAGTGTAATTTCTTTATTCATTTCAGCCTTTCCGTGGGGGGCAAATTTTACTCCAGTGGTTGACCCAAATTTGATGATACATTTGTAATATCGTTCAGACCACAGATTAAATTCCAATTGGTATACTGGGACTAAAGTGGACACATGGCCTCCTTTTATCAATCAAATGGAAATATATGCAACTTTTATATAGTTTGAGAAATGGAACATAGAACAAAATTAAATTATACACTTGATTGTTTACTTCAGTATAAATAATCTCTTCCAGAAGTTAAATAAAAATATGAAAGGAGCAAATTGAAATTTAGACATTTTTAAACAAAAATCTTTTTCAACCTGTTACTTGATCAACCAGAATTCGTGAGGTGATGATGCGCCCATATTGTGAGAAAAGCTGCTCTAGCTCTTTCTGGGTCATCGTTTTTGGAAGGCCGCTGACATACAAATTTGCATCTCTGATTGATGCTGAACTTGGACGGGCATAGGAAACCTAGAAGTTAAACAATATTCAGTTAAACGAAATATTATATTTTTGGAGAAAAGCTTTAAATGAGAAATAGTTGAAGTCTATTTTCAAAGTGTATTTTTACTATTTCTTTAAATTAACTTCACATTGTTCTATAGGATTTTCTACAATAAGTTGAGAAGCAAAAAATTCTAAGGACAAAAAAAGTGGAAATAATTCAGATGCCTACACAAAGGCCTCTAAGGGCCAAAATAAAGCAACTGAAGCTGAGTAGATTTACTTTTCTATATCGATGGAAATGTATAGCTTTGTAATTTACTTCTGTGTACTTGGGATACTTAAAAGATTTACCGTATTCAGCATAATCTGTACCGTACAAGTATATACCTAATTCAGAATTAGTGCTTTTCAGAGTTGATTTTTTGTAGATAAATGTTTTCCCATATATATTTGTATTAAAATGGGATGCTCTGGCAACTTTATATACAGTAATAACAGCAAAATTGAATTTGGGTCGGTCTCTGGGACCAGAGATTTACTCTTCTGAGCTTTTGACACATGCTAGAGCCCATCTTCAAGAAATTTCTCTACTGGAATCCGTGATTTGGGCTATTCTGCGAGTTGTGTTTATGTGACGCCTTCCTATTGGCTGATTGGTGTGTTGATGGCTGGTGACTGGCTGTTGTTTCCTTGTGGGGGGAAAAAAACCCCAGGCAATTGCCAGCCATCAACACACCTGTCAGCCAATAGAAAGGCACCACATAAACACGACTCACAGAACAGCCCAAACCATATATTCCAGTAGAGAAATTCCCTCCAGCATGAGTGCAAAAGCTCAGAAGAGTAAATCTCTGGTCCCAGTGACTGATCCAAATTCGATTTTGCATCATTATCCTGGATAATGTATATTTGCCTTCATAGTAATAACCAATAAAACAATACACAAAAGAAACTATATCTTTCTCCTGCACCATTTATAATTATGTTTAATCAGTCTCTTACACAAAACAGAAATGTTTAAAATCTATCCTTATGTAAGTATAAGTGAATATGTCTGCCTATCGACTGTGCAAATCATTCAAATAGGTTGTTCAAAGAGTGAAGTACTATTTGGAACCTATTACTCAGAACACTGAGGTATTAAGGCTCTTTTTGATGTTCTGAGCATACAGGTGGTCTCTGCTTAACGACCACTCATTCAGCGACCATTCAAACTTGTGATGGTGTTGAACAAGTGATACCAATGACAGGTCTTTGGAGTTCACAGTATCCTTGTGGTCATGTAATTGCAATCTAGGCACTAAACACCCAATCTGTGATTATGGCATCATAGTGTCTCATCATGGTCCCCATCTACAACATCTTTGCTGGTATCTAAAAAGCAAACTCAAATGAAGAAGCTGCCAAGAAAATGCAAATGGTGACCACGAGACATTCTTGCTTAATGACAGAAACTGGGAATGCCAGAATTGCTGTTGCTAAGTGACATGGTCATGTATTTTCATGCTTTATCTCATCACTTAGAGATAGCAATTCCAGTCCAAATTGCTATTATTAACCCTAACCTGCACCTGTAAAAAACTTTTAACTGGAACTGCAACTGAAGGTAAATTCCTGTGTCTCTGAATAGCCTGTACAATCCTAACTTATCTATGCTTATGTATGCATTTGTCCATATATTTTTTATTGAGATACAGAAAGGGAAATACATTTTATTTTCATAATTGAAAATGTTAAAATATATGATTTTGTATAATGGAGAAGGCCTAGTATGCAATTTCTGAATATTATATTTGTATTTAATTTTAACCAATTTAAAAAAGATTTATTCTAAAACACTACACCCTATACTTCTAGCAATCATTAGACATACTATAAAATACTACATATTACTAGTAATATTAGGCATACTATAATTTTGAAATACAAACCCCAAATCGCTTTCTATTCATCTAATAAGAAACATCTCAATACATGTGTGTGTGTTAGTTTATTTATATATATATATATATATATATATATATATATATATATATATA